ACCCCAAAACCCCAAAACCCCAAAACCCCAAAACCCCAAAACCCCTGATATTTTTGCCAATATTGAATATTACTTATTTACTCAAATCAATATTTTTAAACTCTGTCACATACTTGTCAAGGTTTTTCCTAATAGCATTGGCCACATCCTTCCTAAGATGGTCATTGATCTCGTCTCTCTTCTCAATACCTGTCTTGTACTCTATGTCTAAGTGGAAGGGTTCGTCATCATCATAGACTGCGTTTGAGACATCTGGCAGTTTGAAGGAACCAGTTACTTTGGATTCTTCATCTCCTTCGCCCAGGGTTACAGTCCACTTGAGGGTCACTACGAAATCGTATGAGTATATCTTCTTGCCTTTCCTGATACTGATGCCAGCCTCTCCTTCAATCTCGGTGTCAGTTACCTCAAGTTTACCTCCTGGAACAGTATGTTTGAAATTTCACAGAAGTTCTTTAATTTTGTCTTGTGACCACTTATTGTAATTCTTTTCTTCCCAGAAATAGCTGCCTGCGTTCCATACTGATCCAGTGCCTTTGTTAGTCTCATCTACAGATGCAGCCGCTAGATTTTTAGCTTCTTCCAGTTTTCTTTGTTCTTCCTTGGCTTTTTGCTCTTTAAAGATTTTATCTTTTTCGTGTCCTTTTTCCTCTTGGGCTTTCTTCATTTCTTCTTCTTCCTTCATCCGCTTCTCTGCGTCAGCTCTGAGCTTGGCTTCATCCGAATCGATCTTCTGCATGAGGTCGTGGAAGCTCTGGACTATCTTGACTAGTTCAGGTTTGACCTTTTGTCTGATTGCATTGCGGCATTCCTCATGGTATTCATCTGATTTTTCAGCTGTGATATTGACTTCAATGTCTTCAGGGTCATCGTCTTGGTAGAATTCTTGAATCCTGAACTTGCCTTTGGCTTCATGGTCACCTTCTTTCTCTTCAGCTTCCCACTCGCATTCGATTTCGAACTCGTAAATGTAGACTTGCTTCTTCTTCCTGATTGAGATGACTGCGCTTCCTTTACACTCCTTTACGGATGTGACCTTGATTTCAGATGCTTTGGGTGTGAATGCAGTCACTTTGACTGACTCTAGCTTCTCTGTCAAGTAGTCAGTAGCCTTTTTGGTGTAGTTCTTTTCCTCCCAGTGCCAGGAGTTCTTATTCCAGATAGATCCAAATCCTTCCATTTACTTCTAGAATTCAATAATTTTATAAATGATAGGGGTTTTGGGGTTTTGGGGTTTTGGGGTTTTGGGGTTTTGGGG